ATGTGGCTGAGTAGGAGTGACCCATTGGGCTTTTTAGGCTGTAAGCTTTACAAGACCAGAGCACCAGGTCTTTTGCCCATGGAACGGTTGCCCACTGCCATTACATTGATTTCAACTTACAGTAACCCTGGGTAGGGTTTTTGAGACTGTAAATCTTTATGGGAACAGGCAGCCTCATTTTTCTCCCATGGAGTGACTGGTGGTTTTGAACTGCTGACAATGCAGTGAGCAGTCCAACGCCGTATCCACAATGCCACTAAGATTCCTTCATGGAGCCACTTTTGTTGTTAAGTGTAGTTGAGTTGCTTCTGACTCACAGTGACCCTGTGTAGGGTTTCTGAGGAGCAGCTGGTGGATTTGAACCACCAGCCTTGTAGTTCGCAGTCCAGTGCTGATCCTACAGTGCCACACCAGTTCTCATGGAGCCAGTAGGAACGTTTAAACCACCAACCTTTTCGTTAGTAGCCTAGTGCTTAACCAATGTGCCATCACATATCCTTATTTGATTCGAACATAACTTATTTCTAAATTCAAATTTACTTTGGAATATCCACTTTGGAGAGTTCAAATGCCCTAGTGTGTTTCCAAGTGCTCCAAGGATCCTGGGTAGAATTTTGGACGTTTAACTAACCTGTATTAATCTTACAGGTACTCTCAGTGCCCATCCCTGAAACTCAGGGATGTGGCTGGTCATGAATGCATTAACAGGTTTTATCTTTGCAAATTGGGGAAGGGGGAAGTGGAAGTCTTAAGTGTAAGAATGATAGATTTGGGGACACTTCTAGCCTAGTAAAATAAGACAGAAAAATTAAGGACATATGTTGGGAAGCTATTTCACACCATTTCAAATTAAACAAAAGCTCTCTTAAGCAAGCTCCACTTGCCATTCTCCAACTTCTTGGTAAAGCTAACTGGTGGACGCGGCAGCACACTGAATGCTCATGACTTCTCTCTAGTGCCCGCGACAGTTCGGCTCACTGCTTAGGAAAACTGCAATTACATAAATTCAACTGTAAACGAGATGAAGAGATAAGACTTTCTATGGTTTTTCTTTTCCCTAGGTGTACATATATACTTACTATTTTAAAGTTCACCAGTTCATCTGTGTTTTTTCTTCTAACTCCAGATCACAAAGGCACTATTTTCTCTTTGAATCCCATAACTTGGTTACCAGCTTCTTCTATGCGCGACAGCCTCAGTCTCCAGTTATTAATACAGTATGAATTCTTCCAGACAAGCTTCACACTCCTCTAGGAGTGTGTATTTGAAATGGTTTAGGAATACTTTAAGGAGATAAATATTTAATGATGCTGAAGGCTGATGCGGAACAGAGCCCCCAAACCCAACCCAGTGCCATTGGGTTGATTCCGAGTCATAGTGCCACTGTAAGGCACAGTGGACTGTACATCTTTATGGAAGAAGACGGCCTCATCTTTTTTCCAAGGAGCAGTGGTAGGTTTGAACTGCTGACCATATGGTTAACGGTACAAAGCTTAAAAAAACTGCCATCAGAGCTCCTTAGGTGGGTGAATGTTCCTAAAACCATGCACTGGATCAGACTTAAGAAACAACTGCAAGAAAAGCAGTTTTAAAATCTCTTTATTTATAGACATCTCAGAACCATTTAAACCAACTGACAATGAATATTTTACATGTAACATACCATGTTTATCTTGAGGTACAAATTGGGCCCGTTAGATAATGCTCTGGAAAGTAATACAACTGTTAACTGGCAGTTAACAACCCACATTTTCCAAGCAAAGAAACTTGTAAAGATAGCTACAGAATTCTTTGAAACGTATAACCATTTCCACTCAAGTCAAGGAAAACTCCCAATTCTAAATCAACTGAGTTCAATTTTTTAGGCTAGTAGCTTAAACAATATTTAAAATGGAACTTATTGTGTAAATGGGAGAAACGTTTACAGCTAAGAAATTATGAGCCCTACTACATATTGTGATTGTACACAAAGGAAATTCACAATCTGATAAGCTCTAGTATAAAATTCATAGCCTAAAAGTTAGAGCAGCAAAATTACAGAAGATGCCTGTATATAATTTGAACTGAAATCATATTTATTCCTTGTTTCTGGTTTTTATAATGAGACACACTTTAAAACACCAGGTTTTGAAGACTAAATGATGTGGCTTAACAAGATGAGACCATAAGAATCCTACAATAATACAACCCTGCAGTATTAAAGTCTACCATTTGTACTTTGGGCATCTTACTCCTCTTGCCCTAGCAGCCTGATGCTTCTATCTCATTAGGTAAATAGTGTGAACCGGGATCACGGTTATAAAGTTTCTTAACTGGGATCACTGTCATAAAGTTTGTGTATCAGCCGAAGATTTAACATTTCTGGTAAACTGAAATGTTCTTTCAACACTTCACTAGGTTCCTTGGAGAACTGCTTTGTTTTTTAGTTTGTTATCCAAAATTATAATCTTATACTAGTTAGGCATGAGTAGTGAATTGTTTATAGTGTTTGGAAGGTGAAAAATGCTCTATCCATGTGTACTCCCTAAACTTTTCTGAGGAACTGTATGGATGTGCTATATAGGTCTGGGATGTGAGCAGAGGGGAGTGTTCATTCATGTATTTGAAACCAGTCGGAATCCACTGTGACATCCCCCAAAAGATTGTTTTAGTCTACGTTTTTGCATTTATTCTACGTGAGACAAGAATAAATATTACCAGTTACCCACTGCATTTTCATAAACTTGAATGGTATGTGTGGGGCCAAAAGTGTATGTGTAAATTTCACAGTTCATAAAGTTGAGCAGCTCAACTTAGAACTTGCAAGCATTTATAGGATTCTGAGATGGAACTGACCTGTGAGTATTTGAATTCTTCCTACTAACATGGCCACATCCATGTTACCTGCTTGGCTTAGTTTACCGCTGCTGGTTCTTTTCAGATGAGGGCTGTGATGACTTTAGCCATGAGTTTAAGGATCCAAAAAAGGACTCTGTTTAAAGAGACATTTAAAGTCCATGCACTATGGTCAGTGTGTGGACTGCAGAGGCCTGCCAGCAGATAGGTAATCTTGAGCTGGTTTGTAAGGGCAGGTATTGCTGTGGGGATAGTTGACAGATGGATAGTTAGATGACTGCTTTCCACTGCAAAACCAGAAGAGAAGGTCCCATCTTCTGAATACCTCTATTTTGCATTTCTTGTTCTCTTGGGGGTATGAGGATCATGTCTAACCAACTCTTGTCTAGTTACTTTCTACAGACAGGTATTCAGCTCAGGAATGGCATGACGTGACTGTATTTATTTGAATTTTAGAGATGATAGAATACATTATTACAATAAAAAAAATTCCACGTCAACAAAAACATTAACAACAAAAATGAAAAGTGGGAGACAAGGCCACTTGTCTATTCTAAGTCTTAATGGTCTGGTGGTGCTTGACACTTGTTTTTGAAAGAGATTGCCATTGTTCTCATCTGTAGGTTCTAAAAAGACAGATACACTTAACTTTATACATTCAACTGCCCAAAGGATTTCATCTCTTAAACATCCATTTGCAGTATCAGGAACTGTGATTTCAAATATAAATAATGTCTTTCTTCCAGTCATGTACAATCAGTACCAACATAGTTATGCCTGACTCCACAAATGTTTAATGAATGACTGTATGAAAGAAAGGCCACCGTCCCGTCCCTGCCCTCGAGGATCTCCAGATGGCCAATCAACATAAGACAAACAAAACAAAACAAAATATAAAAAGCAAGAAACTATTTTGTGTAATGTTTTGCAAATGACAAAACCAAAAGGAAAAGGTAAAGAGTACATTGTAATATTTTGTTTACTTCATAGCAAGCCAAACCTTGCTCTGTTCCTCCTTCTGAATTTGAGAGTTGTATCCAAGTAGCAAGTGTTTTAAAACAGACTCAGCTTTTCAATTGCATCATGTGCTTTCATTTTCAAAGAAAAGTTCTGAGGGGTTAGTTTGCTAAGGGGTTCGCCCCTCCCCTAAAAGGATGCTTTCTAAACATTAATGTAACTGAGGGGTCTTAGGTCATGTGAATGCAGTATTCTAAACAACTTCACAGATGTGTCCATTATTTTCAAGGGGTGCTCTGATTTGGAGTATTATATTGACCTAGAGTGTAGTATTTATATGATGGGAGGTACAGGATAATCACTAGACCGGAAGGTTGGTTTGAACTGCAAGATGTGCGGTTCAGTCTCACCAGTTGCTCCTCAGAAACCCTATACAGGATTGCTATGAGTTGCAACCAACTTGATGGCACTTAACAACAACATGAACTAAGAGTCCCTAGGTGGTGCAAATATTAACAGACTTGGCTGCTAATTGAAAGGTTGGGGGTTTGAGTCTACCTAGAGATGCTTATGAGAAAGGTCTCATGATCAATTCAGAAAAATTAGCCATTATGGAGCACAGTTCTTCTCTGACACACTTGATGTCACCATGAGTCAGGACTGACTTGATGGCAACTGTTTGTTAGGTATCAATTTTAACCACGAGACAGATTAAAATTTAATGTCATGAAATATATATTGCGCAGGACAAACATAAGATCTGCAACATTAGACTGGGTGTAGATGTATGTTCCAAAAGATCACAATATCTTGCCTTAGTTATTATTGAATCCTGCATGCCACACTGACGTGATATTGGCTGAACTGCCCAGCACACAGGCTGCAGTTTCATCCGCACGTCTGTTACGTCCAGAATTCAGGGCCGACCTTGATGTGGAGGTAGGGTTGTTTGGATGACGCCTTGCTCAAATGTAAACTTGTCTAAGGTATTCCTTCAAAAAGAATGACGGCACTGCGTTTATTTTGGAATATTTAATCACATTTAGCAAAAATGAGCAGGCTAGTATCTTGGAATTTTTAAAATAAAACAGAAATAAAAATAGAGAGTAAGCATTTTCTTTGGAAGAGGGGAAAAACGACTTGTGGGGAAAAAAAAAAGTACTACAGATATAATATAGTGCATACCCTAACAGGAGATGGTATCTTTTTGACTTCTGAACTCCCCTAAAGCATGTTAAGAACACCTGGCTGGCTCTAAGAAACGCTTTGCAGACCTCTCATCATCCGACACCAGGGAATAGGACACTCAAACCAGAGAAAAATGATCATCTGGCAAAAACTGTCATCTCCCCAGATATTGCCATGGAAGTATAATATGTAAAACCAGCCTTATAATGTGCCTAAAATAAAATTTAATTCTTCAATACAGACTCTAATGATGGTTCCAAGTCTTCAGCTCTGAAGACTAACAAGATTCAACTTCAAGTGACAGGGTTCTGAGACACTTTGGAATTATTCTGTCCCCATTCCTAAGAGAGTCAATTTTGTCAGCCCTAAAATATTAACGGACATTTGAACGTGAACAGATTTTATATAAAATAAACTCAGAATGATGCTTTAAATAAAACAAGTGAGGGTGTATTATGTATACTTAAATATACACATATATAATTTTTCCTCTGCTCAATAAAATTAGCAGCAGTTATAGATAAATTATTGTGGTCGTGATCTGTGTTATTTTTCAAGATGTCACATTACCTCCATCAACAGATGAATTTTGGAAAAAGTCGTTGATTAAAAAGCTTCCCCCACCAAGCATATAACATTAAAGTGTCATTTCATATCACTAACATTTTCAGGCACAAGAGTAAAACAATTAGCATTCAGCAATCAAAATGACAGAGCACAGAATACAGTTAAATGTCTAAAGTCAATCCCCATCTCCAAAGAAGGGAATTATTGTTCAAAACGGTTTGCTTTTTTTTTTTTTTTTTTTAATGTCTTTCAGCTTTGGCTATTTTGTAATAAATATTATACCTTCTCACATAAACCTATTTTGGTAAGAATGAATTCTCAGAACATGCCTTCTTCCTTTTAGCAGCTGTTAGGTGTTGAGTGACGTACAAGGCACACCTCTCAGTGTTCTGTACAGCATTTTTATTGATGTACAAAATAGCCTGTTTACCATTCAAAAACGTAATCTGCATAGTAAGAGTGTCTCTCATTCCTATTTACAGAGAAGGTTTATAGTGCAAAAACATGAAATTACGTCCCAGCCCACCCCTTCTAGCACACACAGTTACCAGTTTTGGTCCATGCTAGCCGGGGTTATTTGGCTATATTTTGGGCCTCCAGCCATTAATGAATTGCATTATCTTCTTCACCTGCAGTTTGCTCAATTTGAAATCCTCAGAGAGGATTTCTTCTGTCAGCTGGACGAGCAAATTCCCATCAATCTTTTCAGTAACAAAGAATGCTATGACATCTTCAGACAGACCAATGAACCGCAATGACTTGGACACTTCTTCTATAGAGAGTCCTGACAGGTCGGCCGGTGGCTGCCAAGGGGAACCATCGCCACAAGAGCGTGGGGCCAGCTGGAGATGGAGTGGAGATGAAAAGGGATAGGAGACAGAAAAGATGTCCTGCATGCCCTTTTGAACAAAATACTGGTCTTCAGAGAGGTCTGGTGACCCAGACTTGGGGTCTTCCTCAGCACCATCAATCTTCAGAGGCAAAGGAGATGTTTCCGATGCAGCTATCTCTTCCACTGCTTTTGGGGCCCGTGGGGGTAAGGCAGGGCATGAAACACTCTGTTTTGTTGTGCCAGCTGCAAGAGTCTTCTCATCAGTGCTCTCCAAAGAGTAGCTTGCTGACTTGGGACAACCAGAGATGCAGTTACTGAATTCTGCAGTGACTGAGCTGGGTTCAATCTGGTTGCCTAAGAGCTCACAGCCCTCAAAATCAAAGGGTGCTGGGCAGTTTCTCTTTGGTGTGCCTGGTGTCTTTTGCCTAGGATAACTATAGCTCCTGCTTGGATCCAATAGGAAATCATTCCGAGTCTGGCTTTCAGATGCTCCCATATAATGGTTAGGCCACGAGAGCCTGGATGACAGAGCTTCAGCAGAGGGGCTTCCAAACGGGGATTTCAGTTCCACAGAATCAGTTTTCATTCGGTTGCACGGATAGCAGGACACAGGAGCACTTTCAGAAGGACTCGTGTCACTCTTAGTAACGCTGCTTTAAATAAGCAAACACAGAAACGGATTAGTGAAGTATCAAAGCCAAAATCCCAAGCCTTTCATTTTCCACAGATGTAATTTGTGAGGAGATATAAGTAATTAGGGAAAAATGTTCTTATCAGGTATTCAAAAATGTACCCACTAACATCATTGATTTTTTTTTTCTTTTTTTTAAAAACAACAACACAATTTTAAATAAAACATCTTGGCAATTAGGGAGCTAGACATACTGATTTAAAATGCTACAGTGGAGATGGCATACGTCTTTTAAAAGACACTAACAAGAAAAGGTCGTCATTACTTAGTGGATGCCTGGATTTTTATGAAGAAAAAGTTCTTGAGCCATGCTTGAGCATCAACAGGTGCCGTGATTAATGAGTGATGTCTGCATTGGACAAGTTTTGAGTGAAAGAGCAGCAAATGGGTGTCCGTGCTTGTCAGCCTTGTGCTGTAGTGATGTGACTACATTATCACTATCCATTACGCTATTTCCATCAATAGGTAGGAAAGCAGGAACAAAGGTTTCAAATGAAGTGTGCAGCTCGCTGTTTACGATTTATTTATGTACAAGTCAATAACATTAGCATAAAGATCGAAATGTTCAAAGCACAAAAAAATACCTGCAAGAAGAGCCACTTTAAACTTTAAGATCACATTTGTAGTCACATTCAGCTCCGGGTGCCATATTTTAAGAGCAACACTGAAACTAGAATGTGCTCAGAGGTAGGTTACCAGGCTCATGAGGGGTCAGGTAGCAATGCCAAGGGAAATAGTGGAATGAACTAAGACTGTTTTCTTTTTGGAGAAGTGAAGGCTTACATCATAGTGGACTTCAAATATTCATAGGGTGACAAAGAAGAAGGGTGGACCTATGTTTGTTTTTCAGACAAAAGAAATAGTCAGTGGAAAGTTACCTGACAGATTTCAACTCAATAATATGAAAGATTTCTAAAAATAATTATTAGCTTTTGCCAATAATGGATTGAGTTACATTGCAAATGAATGCGCTCATAATAGACTGGAAGGGTCCAGGCAGAAGTACAGGGCTACCAGACAGCCATGATCAAGAAGGGATTCCTGTACTGGGTGAAAAGTCACGGGACTTTTTCATTTTTAGGTCCTGGTTGAAGGTGGTACCCGTATGCTTGCGCCAAAGTCAAAGCAGAAAGAACTAGAAGCTGGTTTGTGAGAACCAATGGCAGCTACAGGTTACTTTCCAAGAGAACACAGTTGGCCTAATGACTGCATTTCTCAGAGATTCTTGTGTTATCTTTTCTTCGGAAGACACTGACTACCATCCTAGTTCAAACCTAACCAGATTCCCTTTATGCCTTCCCAGTAAAACTCCTTTAAAAATCAAAACAAAAACACACTTCCACTCCCACTGTTCTACCTAAGTTTTGGTTCAAGAACCCGTGAACTGGCTGACGAGGAGAACCTCGTTGACGTGGGACCTGGCATGAAGACTTACATGTTGTGCAGCCCTGAAGAATAGTAGGACAAGGTGGGGCTGGGAGAACGAGTCTGTTGCCGCGCTGGCTTGACTGTGCGAGGAGGGATGGAGGGGCTTGTGGACAAAGGCTTTGCACTTCGGGGCGGAACAGGTGGGGCGTTCAGGAGCCGGCATTCTTCCCTGACCTGGCGCAGAAAAGAACACTCCGGGTTAGCAACAGACTGACAATGCCACCGGGGCCAGCTCGACCCTGAAGAGTCAAGTCACTGCTAGTAGCACAGTAAGAGAGTGGGGAAGTGAGAAGACTGGAGCAAACAAGAAGGATGGAAACCACAAGACAGAAAGTAGGACACCTATCAAATATTTGCTGGGACAAGCTGATTTTGAAAGAAACTACTTTGGAAACATCCGTACCTGCTGAAATTTAGCAAAGAATGTGTGCTCTTAATGGTATTTGGTTAAAGAGCTAGTGAAATGTGAGGACTTACAAAAGACATGAAGTCCTGGTGTGGCGCTATGGGTTAATGCGCTGGACTGCAATGTTGGCTTAAACTCTAAGATTGGTGATTCAAGCTTAACAGCCGCTCCTTGGAAACCCTATACAGGGTCGCTATGGGTTGGAACTGACTAGATGACACTTAACACCACTACCAATAAAAGACACAAAGCAAAGCAATCATGATATTTCTTTAGTGAAGGCTTAGATGACCATTTCCTATTGAGTTATATTTTATTTATTGTGCAAGTTCCATTCCATTTGATCCAACACCATGGACCTTCTCCATAGACATTCTCTGACTTAAAGTTCCTTCTAGAGCTAAGTTCAGGACTTCTCATATACAAATGTAAATGACCTGGGGATCTTGCCAAAATGCATAATATGATTTAGTTAAGTCTGGGGGTGGGGAGGGAGGTCTCAGACACTCTCTAAATTTTGAACAGGTTCCCAGGGGAGACGGATGCTGTCGGTGCCTGAGCCATACTCTGAGAAGCAAAGTGTTGCTGTTGTAAAGTGTTGTCGAGTCGGTTTCAACCCATAGCGATTCTGTATAGGGGTTCTGAGGAGCAGCTGATAAGCTTGAACTGCCTACCTTGTGGTTCAAACCAACTTTGCAGTCCAGCGCATTAACCCACAGCACCACACACTTTGAGAAGCAAGGCTGCAAGGAGAGTAATGAGGCAGCTCTTCCCACAAAGGGGTACTTTTTATAGGAGCTGCTCTAACGTTCTTGCCTTCCTTTCATATTCACACCAGAGTGGATGGAGGTGACCTGTGCCTTCCACTATCAGCGATCTGCAGTTTGCTGTCCACTCACTAGACACTCAGACTAAATGCCTTTTTCATGAAAAGAACATTTTATGTGTACTTCTCTGTGTCAGGCAGCAGGGGGCGTGTTATACCTGGTTCTGTCTGTCTACCCTGAAGTATGAGGTAAAAATTGGCCAGTTCCTGCTGTGCTTTGAAGTATCTTTGTCTGCTTTGAGGATATGTTCCTATCAATTTTTTCACTTTTGCCTTCAACGCCTCTGGGATAATAAAGACAATGAAAGTCCAAGATCCCATTAGCTTTGGTATGAGGTTTGCATACAAGAAAAATTTTTAAGTTTCACAGTTTCTGCCACCTACACACTGGGCCTCCAGCTGGCTTCCCAGGCCTGATTTACTTGCCAAAGAAAACCAGATGAAAGGTCATGTGACCACAATGATTGGCAAACCTTTCTATGTGAAATGGAAGCAATTTAAATAGTCTCACTTCGTATATTTCTTCCTGGGGCTGGGATCATCCTTCTACCTGGAGACTCACAGCCCAGGTAACCGTGATTCAGTGGATTAGAAAGAAAGAAGGTTTCATCTCAAGAAATCCTTTAAGCTACAATAAGACACCCTGAGCAACAGGCTTTCTTGGTCATTAGCTACAGGCTTCCCCTTTTGGATTTTTCTGGCTAAAATCAATTTTACACTGGTGTGGCACTGTAGGTTCAGCACTGGACTACGAACCACAGGTTCGGCAGTTCAAATCCACCAGCTGCTCTTCAGAAATCCTATACAGGGTCACCATGAGTTGACCCAATGGCACTTAACAACCATAACAAAACGGCAGAAGGAGCTTTAATGAGGCTTTAAAAAGGCGGTGACTGGTTGTGAAAAGAAAACCTAGGAAGAAGTGGATAAAGGGGAGAGAGAGTAACTCAGGAAGCCCAGGGAGACTAGCACACCACTTCAGGGGCTTCTTAAGCAGCTGAGAACCAAGTAGGAAACTGAGGTTCCTGCTCACTGGCTTTGGTGGGGTGGGAGGGTGGTTTATATTTTGCATTATCTTCCGTCTTTTTAATAAATTGTGCATTAGCCAACCGTGTTTCATTCCTTTCTCAGGGAAAGCCTATAGATTCTAGGATGTGCAACTTTATTATAGATGTTTCATTTATACACACTGTAATAAGAATCATGGGAAACCTGAAAGGATAAGGCATCTGACCATTACCTTCTGAACTTTAAAATGAACACTTAGTCACTTTACAAATTTTGGGGTAAGGTGGGGCATACGGAAAACAGAGTTAATGTTGAATTCAATTAGAATTTCTAAATTTTGGATCTAGTCATTAACTAGGATGGTTCATTAGGAATCGTCTGAAATGTCAGCTACAATATCTATTTTAATTTCAAACAGTTGGTTGGCCCAGGGCCTGGGAGTCTGCAGTAGAATGTAACCCAGGGGAGGTCTCTTCTTCCTGTGCTTCCTTCTAATCACAGACAGGCCCTCAAGACCAGGAAGAGCTCCTTTCTGCCCCCTTCTTCCATAATTGGGCAGTCCCAAAGGTTTGCTCATGTGGAAGAGGCACGTGGTGAGGAGGTAAACTTTGCCTGAGGGTTTACAACTAAACCTCAAAACAGAAGTGAGGAGGTAAACTTTGCCTGAGGGTTTACAACTAAACCTCAAAACAGAAGTTAAGACACAGAAAATATTGGAATGGTTACATAGTTGAGAATCTCAGTTTGTAAACAATGTAGTTATTAACACACCTATTTTACAGGAATCTTTAAAGACACAAGTGGCTTGCATCACTCTGAGCAGGTGAGGAGAGGGCTCAGAGGCAGCAGGGCTGATGGCTGCCAACAACACATCTCTGCCTGGCTTCATTGCTGTCTACTTGTGTCAAGTCATACTATGCTGCATATTATAGGGAAAATGATACATTCTGGTTGTTGTTGTTGTCAGGTGCCATTGAGTCGGAACCGACTCATAGCGACCCCATGCACAGCAAAACGAAACAATGTCCGATTCTGGGCCAACCTCATTACCGCTGCCACACTTGAGTCCATCAATGATGTCACCTGGCTGATCCATCTCGTTAGAGGTCTTAATATAAATCTTGGAATTCCAGAAGCTGCGCGGAAACAGTGAGAGTTTATTGTGCCATTTTATCTATTTTCTCACACCTCTATACAATTTTACCTTTCTTTGCTCCTTGATTTGATTCAACACCAGCTATTTATCCGAGAGGAATGTGGCTTGCTTTAAACAAATTTTATTGGTAATAAAAGGCAACTCACACTGCTGATGGCCAGTCTCCCTATTTCCAGTTTTCCCTCCTATTCAATTACAACTTTGAAGTTCTGCGTTTTCTGTACATTCTAAAACCTCAGCATGTAGCTTTCATCACTACACTTCTCAGCTCCATGGGCCCATCTGACTGCTGGGTAGTCTAGTTCACTTGCCTGCCAGTTGAGGTCTGTCTGCAGCCTGTCTCCCATCCATTGTTCTGTTTCTCTACAGCAGGGGCAGGGAATGTCTGGCCCACAGGCCATATGTTGTTGTTGTTGTTAAGTGCTGATGAGTTGGTTCCGATCCATAGCGACACTGTGTAAGGTTTCCAAGGAGCAGCTGATGAGCTTGAACTGCTGACCTTGAGGTTCAAACCGTCTTTGCAGTCCAGTGCATTAACCCACAGTGTCACACCAGGACCTCAAAGTCATGTAGTCTGGCCCTACTAAGGCAACCACAGGCGGGACTCAAAGTTCACTAAATCTAGAAGGCTTTTTCATAGCAACATAAATTTCTATTAATTGATGTCATAAATATCCAAATGGCTCCTGACAGAAAAAAAGGTTCCCCACCTCTGCTCTACAGGAACCTAAACTTTCCTACCTTTCTCTCAGGTTTAATTTTTAATGCTCACCCCACCAAAATGCCAGTTTCTTAGGTCCAGCCCCAAATGTTACATCTCAAGTAGCACTAGAAGTGGTTACGGCTTCAGAGCTCTGGTAACACATACTGTCCACATTTACTTACTTCTCACCCACACTGAACTCACCTCAAAGCCAAAATGGCAGAGACTGCCATCATCATTGTTGGATTGACCAATGGTGAGGAGAGTTTGAGGATCTGTCACTTACCATGGTACTCAGAATGTCAAGAGAGGTAAAAAGATGCCATGAAATGCAGGCAAATGGCACCTGTACATCCTTGACATTTTTATGTAGAACTTGTTGCTGATAAGTTATTTGGACTGGATGCTAATTTTTCTAAGTGTCTTTAGATTAGTGTCAATTTAGTAAGAAAAAAGCTCCAGCAGACCTTAACTGGCACACATCTCTGTCCCACTACACTTTGACATAGTATTAGATATTGTGGTTGCAGGGGTATAGGTTTGGCTCTAGGTTTAAAGAAAGCTTTAGGGTGACAGTCTCAGAGAGTTCTACGCTGTATTATCTACTTTCTCAATTTGTCTAGCCTTTTTAAATTTTTTTTTTTTAATACAGAATATGAGTTCTGCTCCATATTCTATCTGGGGCCAGCTATTGTAGGTTCTGGTCAGAATGCTCAATGATGGTAGCCAGACGTGATCTAATATTCCTGATCTCAGAGGTTGGTTGAGGTTGAATCTCTTACAGGCTAGCATCTTCACTGTGCTTTTGGTTACATTTTACTGTTCTGTTCCTGGTGAATTGAGACCCACAGAAGTGTCTTAGATAGCCGCTCCTAAACTTGAAAGATTCCTAGATGCTACTCACCCTAGTAGAATGCTGTTGTAAAGTGCTGTCAAGTTGGTTCTGACTCACAGTGACCCAGAATAGGTCAGATCATAATTTTTTTGAACTGTGTATGACATTTTCTTTTCGGGTGAGTACTACCATCACTTGCAGATTATGGCTGACCTTTGCGTAGCTATAGGAAATTTCTGG